ATTAGTATATAACATATTATATGCAGTACAATATTAAATATAACATAAAATTGCAATTTTAAGTATAACAGCTCCTGATTATAACAGACAGACCTTCCCAAAAGCATACAGAATGAATGATGATAATGATAAGATGAAAAACCCAGAAGGGATGTGAACTATTTTATTTCATGASGCAAATATAGAAGCTAGAGATTAACCACCACCACCTAAATTKCATTACACAGACCCGTGGGGACTATGCCCCCACACCCCCCAATTTACAATTCTACAACAATAATATACTTTGTCATAGTGGCTCTGAATTAGTTTTAAGTAAAAATAGTAAAATTACTTATGTTTATGTTCCTCATACTTTGTATAAATTATTAAGATAACCATCATTGTTTTGCTAATCATGAATCTAAGGAAACAACAACTGGACTAACAACTCAAATACCAAGTCTAATGAACATGTGACTAATAATCAAAAAAATATTTTTGTTTTGTTAACTATGGTGTACAACTATATYTATTTGAAAATTAAATTATCTTTTAATAAATCAGAGGATAAAGCAAATTGATTAATGGCTGCATTATAGTCAATAGGTATATCTTTTTCACAACTTAGTATCATGAGGCTTTCTAATCTGTGTTGTTCAGTTGTTGAACGTAATCTTGTTTTGATTAGTTTTACCTTTGAACAAAAATAAAAATTAGAATTAATTAAAAAATATATATTAGTTAAAATAATTAAATGGCTATTACTTTGGAAAATGCTCGTTCTGCAGAGGCAGAAGCTGCTGRAATGGTAAGGAGTGCCTTATAGGCTATATATAAGTTTGGGAATGCATGTCTAATTCCAAAATTTGATACAACTTGAAACAATTGATCAGTTGTTAATGTTTCTTTAGAATTTATACAATCATTTTCACTTGAGCTTAATTCTGTATCAGTATTGTTACAACTATCATTGTCCAATGGGTTGTTTTCAATCTGATGTAGTTTATTGGGCCCAAGTCCAAGTAATAAACCTTKTAGTGATTTAGTAAACATAGAATATTCTGTTCTTAAATTACTAAGATCTATACTTGGTAACCACTTCCCTATATCTTCAAAAGCATCTTCTGGTAATTTAKGACCATTATTTGAATAAAATAAAATTCGCTGCGGTGATAATAAACTTAGGTCCTTTAGTATTTCTTTGGATTCACAAAATCTAGTGGAAATGGCGTTAATTATTGTGTCCAAAACTACAAAGTAGGTACACAGTGGTTTTGTAACGTTCACTTGCTAGCATTTCTGTTTCATCCATTGCTATTTCTCCTGCCATMTGTTTTTTACGTCTATGTCTGATTTCTCTAAAGTCAACTTCTGTTMGATTTTGATTAGATGAAAAAGTTTTGGCTACGTTCACTAGGCTCATAAATCCTTCATCACTTCGCATATGCTGTAAACTTTTCTGCGCTTCGTCTATAAGTACTAGAGCTTGGATAAAATCTAAATTTTTTGATTGAAGGCATTTTGATAAAGGTGTGGTTATAGAATAAATGGATTTCATTAATTCCATTGATATTATAAACTTAAATGAACTAATAGTGTTAGCTAAACTCTTTGCTTTTGATACAGTGTCACGATCTAAATCATCAGCAGTAGWTAAATAATTTAATGTTTTTAGTAATGCTTGATATTTTTCATAAAYTACAACAATAGCTCTCCCATGAGACGTCCATCTGGTAGTAGAAAAATGCTTTAGACGTCGAATTCGATCTTTTGGAAAACATTCTTTTTGATAATGAATAAACTTTGCTGTTCTTTTGCGAGCTCGCATAAATTGGTTTATTGCTTGAATGTCTCCTAAAAATAATTTTGTATCTACAGAACAGTCACATGTGTCAACAACCACTAAATTAATCACATGAGCAAAACACCAGATATAAACAGCTCTGGGGTTTTCTTTCTGTATGTGTGTTCTTAAACCTGAATAAATACCTTGCATGCATGATGCTCCTTCATAAGCTTGTGCACAGAGTTGTGTTTTCCAATCAATATTATGAGTTTCTGTTATCTTAGAAAACAGTTGAAACATCCCAAGTCCAGATGAGTCTGGAGCAGTTTCTAGAGATACTAATCGCTCTTGGACTTTATTATATTCATCAACATAACGGATCACAAGACAAAATTGTTCAAGCTTAGCTATATCAGTTGTTGTATCAATGATATCGGAAAATAATCCAGATTTTTKTACTTGCTTTAAAATAAACGATCTAACTATATCAGCTAATATTTTTAAAAGTTTATTTTGTGAATCGTGTGACAATATAAGCCTATTTTTTTTTTTTCAATTTTGTTCAAATGGTTTTGAAGTATTGGATGATATTTAGCCAATAATTGAAGAAGTTCCAAAAAGTTACCTTTATTYATTGAAGAAGAAGATTCATTGTGCCCTCTTAAAGGTATATTTTGTCGAGCAATATAAACAAGCACATCAATTACAACTTTTAATACCTCYCGGTTATCTGCTATTTTTTGATTGGCTGAGTGGACTATTTCAACATCAATCCTATAATTACTTGCAAACAAAGTACGACTGATTTCTGCTTGCAAGTGATGCATGCATGTTTCATGAGCTTCAATATTTCTTTTTAAATTTTTAAAATCATTTGAACCTGAAGAAGCCATTATCATATTTTTTGCTTTCGGCAATCCAAAAACTTTACAAGAAATGCAGAAAATACGGTTCAAACTTGGCGAGTATGATAACCAGAGGCGTCTTGAACATGTTCCATCTGGCAAAGTTTTGGTGTAATAACTTTCATGGAATGATCTGATTYCACCATTTTTGTCCCCTATTTTTGGAAATATATTATGAAATAATTCGATGGAAGTTGGTTGACATGTTCCCAGTTCCARAWAATAGCCCTTCATACTGCATGGAATATGAAGAGGCCAGTTCCCTGGATCATTTAAAAATGAATTAGCTGACGATGTACTAAAAATATCTGCAACAAAATAATTTAAATCTTTGTTAGAAAGATTATAGATTATACAAATTATATAAA